CTCCCCTGCGGTCAGTCCTGCAGACGTGTACTCTGCTGACCGGTCCAGGTGTTCTTGAACAGGCGAATTGCCCCTCCTGTTCATGCTGCCTCTTGGCCAGTGGGAGGCCCTGAGTCATCGGACTCTAGCCCCAGTTTGGTGTCTGCTCAGACATCGCCACTTTGGGAAATATTTAAGTCCAGGAGCCCCAGGATCCTAAATAGATGGTAGTGGCATCTTGTTTCCGTAGCCTGCTCTACCAACACAGAAATGGCGCTGGCTTCTTAGAGTGGGGCTGGCACCTAGGAGGGGCTCCATGCCTGCAAGCTGTGATCCTCCTGGTCCCACTTGTGCGTGTGTGTGGGAGTGGGGGATCACAGCCCACAGACCTTTTCCAGGGGAGCTGACCTGTTAAGTGGTCACCCCATTTCATTCCCTAGAGCTGTAGCTGGCTCATGCCCTACCTCCTGCCAGGGTATCCATGTGCCTGTTTGAGAATAGGCAGCTCCCCACTTCCATCTGACCCTGGGAATTCCTGCAGAGGGGCCACTGTTACACCTACTATCTGAGCAACACATTGTAAGGCCCAGGGCAGCAGCAGGGAGGTATGGCTGCATTCCCCACCCCCTTTCTGTGTTGTTTGTCCTGGGGGACCCCAGGGTGTTCCAGTGGCTATGTGGCCTTCAGTAATAGGAATGCCTGTGCTCCAGCAGGGGCTGCATCCCTCCAAGATCTATGTCCCCACATGTAGCTCCCTGGGGCCGTGCCGGGCTTTTTTTTCCCCCCTTCTGGAAACTCCCTGGGCTGAGTCATGAAAATCAAAAGGCAGCCCCCTCTCACTGAGGGCTCAGCCACCTCTAGAGCTAAGAGGTCGGGGTTGGGGTACAGACAGACCAGGGTGCCTTGAGTGAGGGGTCATGAGAGACTCTAAAGCCAACCCACCTGAACAACTCCTCTTCCTCCTCCTGGAGGTCCTTCCCTCTGCAGGTTGCTCTGCGGGAACCCTGCACTTGGTAGTGGTTACACAATTCTAAACTTAGAGAAAAGCACCAAGTTACACACTTAAAAGTGGGTGCATTTTATAGTATGTCAATGATACCTCCATAAAACCATTATGCCAAAACCCTGCCCTTGGCCTCAATGCCCTGCCCAGTTGAAACCTGCCAGCCCTGTGGCCACTCCTCACACCCACATCCCCCAGGTCTTAAGAAGCCTTTCAGGTGCAGCATCTCTCTGGGCCCATCTCCCCATCCTCCACTCCCAGCATAGTAGTGAACTCAACCCCTCAGGGCCCCACTGGATTTCCCCCCAACTCTCCAGCCACATTGGGTAGGTGGGCTGAATGAACCCAGCCCTACTCCCACGCACTGCTGCAATGCAGTGTGTCCTCCACTGCCTCCCAGTTCCAAGGAGCTGCCTTGGGGGTCAGGGATGAGGGGGTGTGTACAAGCAGCTTCTGGCACATCTGGCTGTAACTCCCTGGGTATCTATGCAGTTAAGCTGACACCACAGTCCCAACCCACTGGTTTTCTCCCCACGGCCCCCACCATCTCGCCTGAGGGGCTCTGTCAAAGGTGAGTTGAAGGCTCTTCTGAGGCTGAAGGTGAAGTGAAGGCACTGCCACCACCTCCGGTGACCTCATTGTCAGCTGGCCTTATGATGTCACCGGTCCAGTATTCCAGGTTCCTGGTTCCTGGCTGGGCATTATCCCCAAGCTCCCAGGGTTGGGGGCACTGCCCAGGGTCTGTGACAGCTCACCCCTTGAACACCACAGAGAGGTAACAGGCATGATAACAGTCTTGGGTGGTGAGACTAATAGCTGGGTTGCCTTGCCTTAGCCACCTAGTCAGTCCCTGCGGGAGAACAAAGCTCCAAGCAGGGCGAGTTGCCCTGGGGCTCTGGGCTCGGCTTCTGCCTGCCCTGGGCACCGGCTGTGTGTGCTCTGCAGCTGGTTGTGGCTCCTCTGTGCAAAGGGCCTGGGATGCAGTGGGTGTTGGAAAATGCTGGCTGGCGAGTTAGGGCACCTGAGTGCCTCAGGGCTGGGGCTGGCTGGAGTGGGCAGCCTGTGGCCATTCTGTTCTTCCAGCTCTCTGATGTGGTCAAGCCCTGAGGCCAAGAACCCCATAGGGCCTCTCCCCAGCCTTCCCCTTGGCCTTGGGCCCCACAGGGTGGGTCTTATCTCCCTGTCCTGTGCCTGGGTTGCCTTTTCTTGTTCCGAGCCCCAGCTCTCCAATTTACTCTCTCTCCTGGGTGCTGGTTTCTCCTCTTGCAGACCCTCATGTCCTTGGGCCTGGGCCTCTCTCCTCAAAGCTGACCCTCTGCCCTCTTCTCTCCCGTTTGCCATTGCTCCGACCCCAACCTTCAAGCTCTGTCTCAGAGTTCTCTTTGTCACCCCCACCCTCAACCACCACCTGTCCTCTTCTGCCCCTGTGTATCCCCCCCCAGCTCCCCATGACTTGTTCCCCTGCCCCCTGGTCCCCACCCGTCAGCCTCTGGTCCCAGCGCCTGGCCGCCCGGCTCCTGCACGGACAAAGGGGTCCTTTGTGGGCTGGCCGCGCTGGCGGGGCGGCGGGGTGCTGGCTCCGCATTGCTGATGAAACGAGGCCCTTTGTTGTCCCTCCTCAGGCGCAGTATTTCTTTTTGGGGGCTGGATGCGTTCCTGGCAGGGCCGATGATGGATGCGCCCGCCGCGCCCGCCTGCCCGCCAGCTTTCCCTCCCGCTCCTTCCCGCTCTGCTTCAACACGGTCCCAGCCCCTCCCCTGCTGCCTGGGCACTGCCAGCCCCCTTCCTAGTTCAGACTTTGGGGAGGGGGGTGCTGGGTGCCCTGCACTAAGAGGTTGGGCCTGGGAGAGCGACCCCTTGGTGTTCTCCACTTCTTTTGAATAGGGCCAAGGCAGTGTCCACTGGAACCAAGGAATCTTTCCCTCCCTTACCCAAGGTCTGCAGGAGATCAGCCAGGTGCACAGGCAGGCTTGGAGCAAGTTTGGGGAGCAGGCCTAGAGGACTGTCTGTTGGTGTCTGGATTTGAGGTTGGCCTTACTTCTATGGGCTAGGCTCTCTGAGCATACCACATGCACGCATGCGCTCTCACACACACAGCTTCAGCTTTTTGTGGCTGACACACCAGTTTTTTGCCTACAGCACCTGTTCAGTGACATATCACGTCCTCTGGCCCCAAGCTCAGCATGGCCCAGGGCCTGGGAGGGTGGGGGCAGTCCCCCCACCACGGTAGGACAGAAAAATAGAAGATGAGAGAGGGCCGGGGATAAAGAGACCCTGAGGTTTGGTCACCACCAAGGGAGACTTGCTTGAAGACTAGGTTGAAGACAAAAGCAGAGACAACGCACATGCCAGCCCTGTGTTACAGGGAGCTGACTTCTAATTGACCTGCCCACCCCGCACGCAGAGCTAGACCCTGGAGCAGGAGGAGGGCGGGAGCGAGCAGAGCACGAGCAGCGTTAATGCAGCCATCGATTTCTGCACCAGCCAGCAGGCTGCAGAGGCAGGGGACGCACACACTGGGGCGCACAGTGCTCCCCACCCAGCACCTGCCGCCCTTCGTCTGGGGCTGCTGGGTTTTGGTCCAGAGGCTGGGCAGTGGAGCTGCTACAGGCAGGAATTAAGTTTCTGGCCCTACTCTCACAAGCCCTGGTCCTCACACTTGGCCAAGAATACTGGTACCTGCAGGGGGTTATAAGTCTCCAAGGACAGTTGGCCGAGAAGCCAGCCCAAGCTTGGCGTGCACACAGTAGGACAGAGCATGACTCCTCCTGGCCAGAGGTAGTCCCCCTTCATCTTGTCTGATACCTCGGGCCTCCAATGCCCATGCTGGGTGTGTGTGGTGGATATCGCCCCTTGGCCCAGCACCACCTACCTGTCCGCGCTCTCAGTCCATGGGGCCATTCCCAAGCAGTCATTGCAGGGCCAAGAGGTAGACGTAAGTGATATTCTGGCACAGGATCTGTCCTGACGCTGGTGGGGTTAACTGGGGACAGAGATGCAGTTTGTCACCCTTAAGCCCAGGGCAGGATAGCATCTGCCAGATGTGTACACCCCTCTTCTTCCCCCAATGCCACTCTGTCCCCGTTGCCACTAGCTGCTCATGGCCAGTCTGCCTTCTTTCCCTCCCTCCTGGAGGGTGCTGGGCCACAGCAGACAAGGAAGGGATGCCCAAGAACCAGGACTGACAAGGACCAGCAGCTGGCTGCTTAAGGCCTGTCCCAGGCAGGAGCTCTCAGGACAGGCTTCTGTCAGCTTTCATTCCCTTGCAAGTCACACCTGTTTGCCTAGTCCCAGACTACCCAGCTTCTCATAAGGACCAAACCAGGCTTTACTTTGGGGGCTTTTGGGGCCTCAACCTTTCCCCACCCCTGGGAACAGAGGCAAGGGGCTCTGTGTTGATTGTGTCTGCACTTTAGGAGTCAAGGTAGACAAGAATGCTAAGGCACACAGGCTTGAAAATCTCCAGCTGAGGCTCCAGGAGCAGCTTCCCAGGCCTTTGGCTCTCTGCCTTTACATATTTATTTATTTTTATTGGAAAGGAATGGTTACAGAGATAGAAGGAGAAAGATTGTCTATCCTCTGGTTCACTCCTCACATGACTGCAATGACTGGAGCTGGGCCGATCTGAAGCCAGAAGCTTCTGGGCCTCCCACGTGGGTGCAGGAGCCCAAGCATACTCAAGCCAATCCTTCTCTGCTTTCCCAGGTGCATTAGCAAGGAGCTGGATCTGAAGTAGAGCACTGGATGTTCCTAGACCGTCCCTGGACAGATGGGGGGGGGGGGGCTGGGTCGACTGGGTCGAGCTTGCAGTTATTGCTGAGGTCTCTGTAAAATTGAGGATTACCAGCCACTGCTTCCTAGGACTTTCATGCATCTCAATTGGGGCAGGACCCTGAAAACTCGCTGAGCTAACACTGAGGCAGGCCGGGTGGGGTGGGCAGGGGGAGCAGAGGAAGAGTTAGGGTAAAGGGGGGAGGTGTGTGCACCACTCTGACCCATGTTCTTTTTTCCCCAACAGAGTGAAGACACTTCCCCGTGGACACCTGCCATGTGCTGCCCTGAGCAGTGAGGCCCAGCAGGCGTCTCGCTTGCAGGTGGCAGGGGCTGGTGCTCATCTGTGAACCCCAGCAGTTGGCAGGCTCCCTGGGCACCGGGGTCTGGGCCTCGGCCCCACCATGTCAAGCCTGGGCAGTGGCTCCCAGGATGCCGCCGGCGGCAGCAGCAACAATGGCAGCAACAGTAATACCACCAGCAGCAGCAGCACCACCAGTAGCGGTGGCAGCAACAGTGGCTTAAAGGCAGGAGCAGCAGAGAAGAGCGCACCCACGGCCACGGCCACCCCAACTTCCGTGGCAGATGATGCCCCACCCCCCGAGCGCCGGAACAAGAGCGGCATCATCAGTGAACCCCTCAACAAGAGCCTGCGCCGCTCGCGCCCGCTCTCCCACTACTCTTCCTTCGGCAGCGGAGGCAGCAGCATGATTGGCGGGGAGTCTGCAGACAAGGCCGCTGCAGCTGCTGCTGCCGCCTCCCTGTTAGCCAATGGGCACGACCTGGCAGCAGCCATGGCGCTGGACAAAAGCAACCCTACCTCAAAGCACAAAAGTGGTGCTGTGGCCAGCCTGTTGAGCAAGGCCGAGCGGGCCACGGAGCTGGCTGCCGAGGGACAGCTGACGCTGCAGCAGTTTGCGCAGTCCACGGAGATGCTGAAGCGTGTGGTACAGGAGCACCTGCCACTCATGAGTGAGGCAGGCGCTGGCCTGCCTGATATGGAGGCCGTGGCGGGTGCCGATGCCCTCAATGGCCAGTCCGACTTCCCCTACCTGGGTGCTTTCCCCATCAACCCGGGCCTCTTCATCATGACCCCGGCTGGCGTATTCCTGGCCGAGAGCGCGCTGCACATGGCTGGCCTGGCCGAGTACCCCATGCAGGGTGAGCTGGCCTCAGCCATCAGCTCGGGCAAGAAGAAGCGGAAACGCTGCGGGATGTGTGCGCCCTGCCGGCGGCGCATCAACTGCGAGCAGTGTAGCAGTTGTAGGAACCGAAAGACTGGCCATCAGATTTGCAAATTCAGAAAATGTGAGGAACTCAAAAAGAAGCCTTCCGCTGCTCTGGAGGTAACGGCGCCTTAGCGGGAGGTGTGCGGGCTCTTGCGTCTGTCTGGCAGTCCAAACCTAACCCTCAGCCCCTGCCCCATCCCCTTCCTGACCTATCTGGATCAGTTGCTCCAGAATGCCCAGCCAGCACCCCCCGGGGTCTGGGGATCTACCTTTGAGACGCAAGTTCACTGCTTCACAGTCAAAGTCACGACCTGAGACCCCACCACCACCAGGCTGTAGTTGGCAACACCACCATCTCAGTTCACTACCCCATGCCCACCCCCGACCCAAGTTCTGAGAATCCCCTTGATTCATGCCATTTTAAGGCATTTATCCTACAACCCCCACACTTCTGGCACCCACACCCAAGCTTTCTCACAGAGCTGTTGGCCTGGAGGGTCAACCAGCCCTGTACTTGTCTCCCTATGAGAGTCCAGCCTTTGGTCCAAGCTCCTGCAGCACTGGCTGCCATGTGCCAAGACCTGGTGTTAGGGGATGGCCCTAGGCATAGAGGCTCCCATTTAACTCCTTTCCACCCTTGATGTGGAGCTGTTCTTTGGCAGCCTTGCTGGCACAAACCATCTTTCTCAGCCTGCCCTTCTGTCCCCAGCCCTGCCCCTCTGCAAGTGGGTTTCACACAGCTGTCCAAAGCGGCTGGGAAAAACATCGATGGTACCTCAGGCTGGCCAGCCCCCCAGACTTCCTGCATTCGCTTTCGCATGTGCACACGAAATGTCCCTTTGGTCCAGTGCGGAGAGGCACACCTGCCTAGTACATATCCAAATACTGCCCTGCCCCTGCTCTGCCCCACCTCCACACACTGCACCCTGCACGTCTCACCCGCGTAGTGTGATCCAGAGACTCACACGGGTGCTCCCAGCGGGAAGGAGGGCTCCTGGCACCAGCGCCCAGCAGCTGCAGGCTGCCGGCTCTGGCCCCCTGCAGGGTGGCTGCTCTGACTCCAGGCACGACGGTCCACGGGGGAGCACCTTGGCAGCAGACCCACCCGGACCCTGACTGAACTCTCTCCTTGTTTTTGTCTCCTGCCCCCTTCCCTCCCTCGCCAGAAGGTGATGCTTCCGACGGGAGCCGCCTTCCGGTGGTTTCAGTGACGGCGGCGGGACCCCAAAGCTGCCCTCTGCGTGCAATGTCACTGTTCGTGTGCTCTCCGGCAAGGGATTCGGGCGAAGACAAACGGACGCACCCGTCTTTAGAACCAAAAATATTCTCTCACAGATTTCATTCCTGTTTTTATATATATATTTTTTTGTTGTCGTTTTAACATCTCCACGTCCCTAGTCTAAAAACGAAAAAGAAAAACAATTAACTGCTTTTTTCAGAAGAACAACAAACAACAACAACAAAAAAGAGGTAAAGATGAATCTATAAAATACCGAGACTTCCTGGGCAAAGAATGGACAATCAGTTTCCTTCCTGTGTCGCTGTCGATGTTGTCTGTGCAGGAGATGCCGTTTTTTGTGTAGAGAATGTACATTTTCTGTAACCTTTTGAAATCTAGTTACTAATAAGCACTACTGTAATTTAGCACAGTTTAACTCCACCCTCATTTAAACTTCCTTTGATTCTTTCCGACCATGAAATAGTGCATAGCTTGCCTGGAGACTCCACTCACGTTCCTAAAGAGGTCCATGGCCGATGGCACTGCGTGACGCTCTCAGGCCCGGCAAGGGGGTGAGCAGCAGGGGGAGGGTGCGTGCCCCCTGTCCCCTCCCCCCCATGGCCCAGGCCGCCAGCTGTGCTGCGCCTGCAGTGCCCAGAATGGGACCCCCCTCCTCCCACTGCCGCAGTGATGATTTCGGAAAACTGAATCCTGTGCATTTATGCCTTGAGATTGGGGGAAGCCTGTGTCTCTTACTTCTGATCCTGGCTACTTCCCTTATAGAAAACAAAAAAAAAAATTTTTTTTTTAAATCTGGCCTTGCTGATGGCGGCAGAAGAAAGGGCTTCTTGGCGTGGCCCCCTGCCCGTGGGGGTGGGTGCCCAGGGGCCCCCCTGCTCATGGCCAGCTTCCTGCTGATGAACATGCTGTTTGTATTGTTTTAGGAAACCAGGCTGTTTTGTGAATAAAACGAATGCATGTTTGTGTCACGAAGCAGTGCTGGCTTTTTGCTGTCCGGTTCAAGGGGGCTGGCTTGACCTGGTTTGGGTGGCGGGAGGGTGGGGGGGCGCCCTGGCTGGGTAGGGGTCTTCTAGGAACACTCTGGGGGAGTGGGACCCAAGGACTTTGGGAGTGGCCAGGATTGGGTCGGGTATTCTTGAGAAGACTTCCAGGTCCACAAATGGGGCGAGCCTAGCTTCTGGGGCCTGATGAGTGGCAATCAGCAGCAGGTGTGGGCATTTAACTTTTCCCCTGACCTGCCTGGGAGAGTTCTGGTCCCCACCCCACCCCCATACTTCTGGCTCCCCCCCATCCCCGAGGTGTGTACAGACACTCCTGCCCTGTGTACAGAGTCTTCTCAGGCGAAGAGGGGTCCTTGGCCTTGATTGTCCTCACCCCCAGACAGCTTATGGGTACAAGGTCGTCTGGAATCTAAGAGGCCAGGTGTCTGCAGAAATTGCCACACAGAAGGCCACGTGTGGAGGCCAGGGCGGCCTGACCCGGAAGTGGTAGAATCCCGGGCGGCCTGACTCGGAAGGAGAGGTAGGTGTGTGTCCCTCCCTTCCGGCTACCCAGGTCAGCCTAAAGGACGAGGCCCGTCCATGAGGGGTAGGGAGAGAGGGGAGTATCCCCCTTACATGGCAGCTCTAAGCCTGCCTGGGAAGGAGGCTGCACTTGAGGAAGGACTTCCTGACCCCGGTGGGCCCAGCTTCAGGTGAGTGGGGGACCTGAGAGAGGAGGGCGGAGGCATCGGGAGCCGAGTGGGCAGTGGGGCGGGGGAGGTAGGCTGCCTCTGTCATTGTTTCTGAGGAGAAAGCTGAGCGGGCGGCTGGAGCGGGGGAGCAGCTGACCCCCCAACCCTTTCCCGGGTGTCACAAGCTCCCTTGGAGCGCAGGGCCGGCAGCCTGGCCTGGCCCAGCGGGGGCGGGCGGGGGCGGTGGGAGGCAGCTTTCAACTCCATCTCTGCTTGGGAAAAATTCCCTTTCATGTAGCTGCCTGTGATCTCTCCAGGCGGCTCTGGCGGAGGGGGGTGTCCAGCAGGGAGTAGGGGGAAGTGTTGGCAGCTGTGGGGCACCTTGCCCCACCCCCTCACCAGGCAAGCTGCAGCACCTCCTGAGCCCCAAGGAGGCCGAAGGGTCCTGGGGGGGCTGGGAGCCCAGCCAGCAGGGGGCACTAGGGCTGCAGGCCTCTGCCCACCCCCCCGCTAGGCTGGCAGCAGGCAAGCTGCAGATGGCCCTGGGCCGGCCCTCCCTGGCACGCCTACAGGTATGGGGTGGATGGCTCTGGTGCCAGCCCCAAGAAGGGGGGTGCTGTGACTCAGCCGGCCTGTACCTTTGGTATGCTATCCCTCAGCCAGCCATGCTTCCTGTACCACCCCTAAGACTGAGATGCCCCCAGGCCTTCAGCCTCTGCCCTGGTGCTCGGCGGGCGTTACGGGACTAGTGTGTCTGCGTGAGGGTGACTCTCACCTCATCTGGAAAATGGAACAATAGGGATTGTCACCTACCAAGCTGTCTTCCCAGACTGGGAAGCCCTCACTTCTCCCTGCCTCCACAGAGGGGGCCCCATTCTGGTCTCTGGCTCACAGTCCTCACTCCTCCACATGATCTCTCCCTGTCCCCTGGTCTCCATCTGCCTCCATATCTGGCCCTCTCTCCGAGGGGGGTCTGGGTCTCTGTGTCCGAAGTTCTGCACCTCAGCTCTACCTGCAGCTCTCCCGTTTGATCAGGTGTGCACAGAGATGGCTCCCTAGTGGTGTGTGAGTCTTCAGCTGGCCAAGACCCCGAGTGTGTCCTGCATTCCCTCCTGGGTGATTGGCATTCACAGCTTGTCTGGAGTGGTGGAGCGGGGATTCAAGAGGCCAGCCACACTCCTACATTGGGCTACAGAAAGTCCAAGTGCTTAGTGAGCCCTGCATGAGTCCTCGGCTCTGTGTGTATGTGTGTGTGTGAGAGAGAGAAAAAGGCAGGAAAATTCATGCGGCTTTGGCTTAGTGGATGATGTCACTGGCCACACTTTGGGGTGTTCTGACACTCCACGTATGATCCTGTGATGCTGGATGATTTTATATGTGTGACCTCAACTATGCAACACTGATAGCATGACCCTGTGACAACCCTGAGTATGGAACATTGTATCTGTGGCACTTGACAAACCCTGAGACTGCCACTGGGGCCAATTGTAGGTGAGTATGCTATGTGTGGGGTGACCAGGGCACTGTGACAGGACCGTAGCCCTGTGCTCTCTACTTGATCCCCCCGGGTGTGTGGTAACCACATGTACCATGTGTCTTGGGTGCCTGTGGTCCTTGGTGGTGGTGCTGCCACCCTTGCCATGTGTGTCATTACCACCAACTGTCTTGGGGCTCTGCCTGACAGCTGTGCAACACTGGGTGGTGAGCGGGGCCTCTGGCAGCCCCTGACTCCCAGCTTGGCCCCAAGACCTGATCTGGATGAGGAATCTGGCATGGGGGCAGCAGTAGCAGTTCCCACGGCCGCTGTGGCCCCTCTCCCAGCCCCGTCACTGCGGGCTTCAGCTCCGCAGAATATCCTGGCAACCCCAGCCTCTTTGTTCTTCACGACCGCCAAAGGCCTGCCTCTGCCTGGGCCTGCCTAGTGCCTGCCAGGCGCCCCCTCCCCCACAGCAGTCACGCCTGGCCTGACCTAGTCTCTAGCTGCCCTGATCCCTTGCCTGGACCAGGGCCTCTGTCCCCATGCCCTGACTCGGACACTGGGCTGGGCCACTAAGCTCTCTGATGTAAGCTTGCTCTTAGATTGTAGTGCAGGAAGGCAGAAAGGGGACAGCTCCTGTGGCTGTTGCAGGGAGACCATGGACTGGGAGCTGGTCCATCAGGGGCAGGTCCCATTGACTCAGGGCTAGTCGGAGCCCTCATTCTGAGGAGGGGACAGTTGCAGCTTGTCAAATAATGTCACTTTTTTGGCTCTGGGAAGCTTCAGGACAGGAGCACCCATTTTACTTAAATAAACTCAGGGACAGAGGATGTGACTTGTCCAAGGGTGAGACTCCAATGGTGGTAGGTCCACTAATGAGTACCCAGATTCCCCTCACTATCCAGCTGTGTTGGGTGGCCTTTTAGCCTAGGGCCCTGGCCTTTGTCCCCAAGAATGGAGGGCAGCACAGCCACAGGTCATAAAGAACGGTGCTCCACAGAGTGATTTGTGAAGCAGCAAGGTCATCCCAGTTCGTGGCAAGACTCACAGCCTCTCCAAAAGAGACATGAGCCTGCTGGCCCTGGGCAGGAATGCAGACCCTGGTTTGAGGCTCCAGCCTACATTCCCCAGCATAGCCTAGGCTGATGCGACAACAAAGGAGGTGGTGACAGTCACTAGGTTTGAGCTGCAGTCAGCTCCCAGGTGCCAGAGAGAGGTGTCTAGAAGTCACTACACCGCCCAGGGCCAGCAGCAAGCACTGAAGAGCTCCAGGCAGCCCCCAGCATGGTCCGGATGGAGACCTCTGTCCTACAGAAAGGGAGCTGGGGCCCAGAGAGGCCCAGCTGTCCCCCAAGGTCACATAGAGGTATACCTCTCGCCCTTCCTGCCATGTTGAGCGGGCAACGGTTGGGAGGATGGTGGGGGCACAGCAGGTCTCCTGAGGCTGCCGGTCAGGCTGCCAGAATGGACACTTTCATCTCTCTCCGCTTGTCGACCTGCCATCTCCCGGCAGCCTTGAATTCCCCTCCTGCCACTGAACAAGGACTGCCTCAGATTCCAGGCAGCAGGGCGTGAAGATGGGGTGAGCCCAAGGGAGCTGAGCCAGCCCTGCTCCAGGCCTGGGTGCTTACAGCTGCAGGTGGGGCCTCCCTACGTCTCCTCTGATGGTTTTTGTTCCCTCCTAGGGACACCTTCCTCCCCCTTCGTACCTCTTCAGGTGCCTTCCTGATTACTTCCCCCACGACCTCACCAAGGCTGGGTCACATGTCCCCATGCCTCACCCATCATGGCTTTGGGTGACTTCAACAAGCTGTAGGACTCCAGGCAGTCACGGCAGCACAGACACCTGGTAAAGGAGAACCACCAGCTGGGAGCTTCACCATCCTGGTCTGCTGCTTTCTGTGCTGCCCACATAGATGCCCCAACACTTCTGTACCCTATGGGCAGAGGCCTCAATGAGCTCTTCCTGCTGCCCAGGTGGACGGCCTGTGGCCTGTGTGCTGCACTCATGCAGTGGGCACTGAGCACTCCAGGAGGAGCTGCTCAGTCATCCCCAGTTCATAGATGAGAAAGTTGAGTCTCAGAGAAGTGTAGCAGCGTGCAAGGCCACACAGGTGCCTCTGCTTTCGGAAGTCAGCGCATGGGAGGAGCCCCTCCCAGACACCCTGTGCAGGCTGTGGTCACACCCAGGTGGGGTCAGCTTCCTGCCTTCAACTTCTCTCCTGTTGCTTCTTTTTTCCCCACCCAGTAAAGCCCTTTAAGCACTGAGTATTCTCAAGCTCAGAAAGGTCAGCTAACCAAGAGTGCTGTGTGCAGCCTGGCGGGAGGGGGAGCAGCCTAGGTATTGTGGGACAGACAGGAGGCACAGCCAGAGTCCACAGGGCCTGCCCCTTCCACCTCCCGGAAGGTGCCCCTGGCTCAGAGGCCTGCCCAGAAGGGGGCACCCTCCACGGGTACTGAACTGTGCTCTGCAGCAGTGGAGATCACAGGCAGCCACTGGAGATTTGGCGGGGGAGGAGGGTTGGGGAGTGGCTGCCAGGGTGAGGCCAAGGGCAGTCCCAGTGTTGTTGATAAGGTGATGGCGCCTCAGGAGCCAGCACAACGCAGTGAAGCCATGGAAACGTGGCTGAGGTGTGAGGCTGGCCTGGCCACCTCCCCCAAGTTGCCACCTCCTAGGCTTGACGGGAGTGCCCAGCAAGGCAGGTGCAGCCCCTGGCAGCCTGGCTCTTCGCCTTCCCTGGACCAGCATGGTTGGGGGACAGGGGGAGGAGCAGGGAGTTGGGCCAGGGCTGGCGGCTGGAGAAGCTTGGTGTCACCCTGGCCTGTGTTTCCCTGGGACCATGCTAGAGTCAGACTTTGAGCGGGTTGGGTGGAGGGCTGAGGCCCACAAAGCCCGCTCACCCCATTTAACCCCTTCTGTCCCTATCAGTATGTGTGCATTATTTACCTTAAGCATTTTGATAAATCATAATAGCAGAGACATCTGCTGTCAAAACTGCAAACTGCATTTGGGGCTCAGCTGATGGACACCAATGGCTACAGAGGCCAGGGATATAAGGGCCCTGAAGCTAGGAGCTTGGGGGTAGTATGCACAGGCCCACACCCCTCATCCAGGGCTGGGCCCTGAAGGGGACTCAGGCACCCTCTTTTGATACTCCTCTTTGCCAGCTACTAATCAGAAAACCTTCTCAAGAAGCCTGCCCACCCCCACCCCTGTGTCCCCTCCTTCCTGCCTCCCTTGGCCTCAGAATTAATGCAGCAGTGACAAGCCTCTGAGAAGTCCCCTGAGCGGAGATTAACTCCCGGGGCAGCGCGGGCAGGGTTGGCCATGGGCGACTGGGGATGGGGGGTGGAGGGGCTGACGCGCAGACCTCACAAGATTAATCACCCTGCAGCGGTCTCATCACGAGGGCACCTGGTGCTTGACCCCTGTCCACAGCAGGGGTGTCCGGTCCCGTGTCAGGGGCATGTTCTGCCTCCCCCAGCCCAGCCCCCATGGCTCTGGGTTCAACTCATGGGAGGCTTATGGGAGCTGAGACACAGCTCCCTTCTGTCTGTTTCCTCCCCTCACAGTGTTCTTAGGGGCTCAGGGGCCTCCTTGCAGATTCCTTCCCTTCCCTAGCTCCTGGTCTGGCTCATCAGCCCTGGGCTAGGAAGGGGGTGATGGGGCAAGTGGGGAGGAAAAGCTAGAACCCTGGCTGGCCTACCTACTTCTGGCTGTCAGCCCCCATACCTTGCTTCACTGGTTGTGGGGGTTAATGATGTCTTTGGACTTGCTGTGTTTGTATAGGGAGGTGGCAACTGCTTAGAGGGGACCTCCAAGAGGGGGTCATAAGACAAGGCAGTCCAGGGACAGGTGCCTACTTGACAATCACAAAGATGTCCTCAGCAGCAAAGGACACCATTACCTCCCAGAGATACTGAGGAGGGGAGGAGGAGGGAGCTGGGAGAGCCCAAGGGGGCTTCTTAGAGGAGGTGTGAGTAGAGCTTGCCTTGCTATGTGATGCTGCCTCTTGCTTACCTAGGAGACTTCCTGGGACAGTGAGGAGACCACATGGAGGGAGCCCAGACGCCAAGATCCAGAATGAGTGAGTGTGTTTCATCTTGGGGATTGTGGCAGCCCCTGATGGTTCTGGCATGTGGACAGCTCTTTGGAGGGACTGAAATTGATATTAAAATCTTGAGTCTACCTGAGTATGTGAGGCAATTGCCTAATTCCTCCCCAGGCTTGTGGGGTTAAGACAGAGAACCTTCCAAAGGCTGGGATCCCTGTCACCCGTTCTCCCAGGGGAGCAAAAGCATTTTCCACTTCAGCAAGTGAGGCTTGGGCACAACAGGAGGTCGGCTGCCTGCCACTCATGACAGCCTGGAGGCTCCACCTGACAAAATGGCCAAGCTGAGGGCTGGCATTATGATGCCACAGGTCAAGCTGACCCTTTCCTATGGGAGAGCTGATTTGAGTCCCCAGTTGCTCTGCTTCCCATCCAACACTCTGCTAATGCTCTTGGGAAAGCACCAAATGGACGATGGTCCACATATTTGGGTCTCTGTTACCCATATTGGAGCCTTGGATAGAGTCCCTGGGTCCTGGTTCCTGGCTTCAGCCTGATCCAGTCCTAGCTATAGCAGCCACTTGGGGAGTCATCCGACAGAAGAAAGGTTGTCTGTCCCTCTCTGTGTTGCTCTGCCTTTCAAGTAAACAAATAAATAAATCTTAAACAAAAGAACGACCAGATGAACTAGAGGGCTTCAGTGGAGGTAGGAGGTCACCTGTGCCCCCAAGAACCTGAGAAGCAGCAGAGCCTGGCCTGGGAGGCAGGGGCTGAGCCTGCCATCCAGCCCTCCCCCAGATGGTTTTCCAGTCACAGGACCAAAAACACAGCCAGCCCTTCCAGAGTTCTGCTGTCCCAATTAGTGCCATGGTGGGACCTCCTGGCATCAATCAGCCACAGCTTTAGTTCTCTCCTTGGGATTTCAGACCTGGGAAGAGGCTGCAGTTTATGGGGGGATGTCATTCTAGCCCTTCCCCCACACCTGTTATGCCCCCTCCCCTCTTCTGCTTTTCCACCCATACCCCCCTCACCCCTGACCCTGTGGGCCAGCAGCCTGCGTTGCTGTCATCCGTTGTCATGGGAACCATGTGGCTCTGACCTGGCACAGGCAAGAGCTGGCCAAAGCTCCTCACGGGGATGCTGAGGGGAGCTGGGGGCAGATGGAAGCACCAGGCTGTCCTTGGCTGGGCGGTAATGCACCCCAACCCCTGAAAGTGGAAAGATGACTCAGATGAGGGTAGGCTGAAGTACCCAAGGTCAAGGCCTGACTGCCCCCAAGCCCTGAGGTCCCTGCCCCCTCCCCAGGCCCACCTGCCTAACCCGACTCCAGGCTGGTGGCTGCAGGGAGGGGAGGTAGGTACCTTTATATTTTTCTCACAGCTGATGGGAGCTCAGAGCCCTGAGCTCAGCTCATTCTCTAGGCTAAAAATACCAGGGAGGCGGTGGCAGCAGCTCCCCGAAAACCCTGTCCACCGCCTTCCCTCTCCCAGCAGACATTCACACACACACACACACACACACACACACACACACACACACACACACAGCCTCGACCAAATGCTAAAGTGCTGCTTACCCATGCCATAGTTCATGAAGAGTCTCCAGCTCCCACCCCTGAGACCTGTGCTGCCACCCAGGGTGTGGCTGAGGCTCAGAAGAGTGTTGGCACCATGCACCTGGCAGAGGTATAGCAGATACATCCCTGTGGCTCATCTACATGGGCTTGGGCAAGGCTAGGCTGAGTGTCCAGCTGCCTGTCTGCGCAACCCTACCCAAGGCTAGCTGAAGAGTTGACACTGCCTGGAGTTGAGGCCAAGGTGACTGTCCACCCTGTCCATTTCCCCTGGCCCCATCTGTGTTCCTGGGCTCAGGAATTCACTGTAGCTTTCCTGTTCTTAGAAACTGGAATAATCATCTCTGTGTAGCTGCTCCAGCATCACCTGAGACTGGGGCGGGAGGCAATGAAGTCCTCCTGGAGTGCCAGGAGAAGCTCGCCCTGGAAGTCACAGCCCCTGGGCACTGTGAAGCCTGGGAGCCAGACCCTCAGGGTCCTGGTTGCTGAGTGCCCACCTGCCTAGCCACCCACTTCCATGGGCACTTTGAGAACCACAGGACCCGCTTCTTGCTCCTGCTTCCTACACCTGAGTGTGAAAGAAAGGAGATAAAGATCTTCATCCACTGGTTCACTCCCCAAATGGCCACAGTAACCAGAGCTGAGCTGCTGATCTGAAGCCAGCAACCTCAGGATCTCCCACATGGGTCCCAAGGCTTTTGGCCATCCTCTGCTACTTTCCTAGGCCACTAGCAGGGAGCTGGATTGGAAGCAGAGCAGCCAAGACATGAACCACTGTTCATGTGGGATCCTGGTGCTTATAGGTAGAGGATGGGGACCCCAGGTGCTGGCCCCCGAGTCACCCATCTGAGTGTACGAAACCAGCTGTTCCCTTTGCTGGCCTGTGTTTTGGGGTCTTTTTTTCTGCGTGTGAAGCAGGTGTTCATCTGTATCTGTCTAGAGGGATGGGTACCAGGTTTCAATAAGGTATTGGTGTGTCTGGCTAAGTTGTCATCCTTTCTGGAGGTTGGCAGGGAAGGGGCATGCTCTGAAAAAATGCTGGTGAGTTTGCTCCTGAGCTATCCCAGTACCAGGAACCACCACACTGGCTGCTGAATCTTGGAGCATGCCAGGCCAGCTAGAGTCCCCTTGATCTGTGCCCAAGGTCCCCCAAAGAGCAGCATAGCCCCTGAGGTGTACGAACGTGCTCTCAGCCATGGACGGATGTTGTAAGGTAAAACATTAATACATTGCATCACATTGGTGAGGAAAACTAAATGTAAATTAGATAATTAGAACAGGAGCTGGTGCCCGCTGCCTGGTGCTGCCACCTCCCACCTTGGAAGAGAAGTTATGAGAGCTGGTCCTGGGTGGGGGTTAGTTCCTGGTCTTGGGGAGATGTGGCTGCCTCCTGGAGCTCCGTTTGGTCTTTGGGAAAGGCGGGTCAAGAAGGGAGAGGTACTCTATCTGGGGGGTACAACATCTGCTTTGGAGCAGATGTTGGAAGCAGAGCCCTGGGTGTGGGCCCAGGTTCTGCCGGGATGGGGAGGGGGGTCCCTGGGTCATTGTCTTTCACTTGCCAAGCTATTGTTAACTTGTACATCTGCAAAGGAGGGCTCCTGAGGGGCTCCCTTCTAGGACCCCAGCAGGGAAGGAAGAGCATAGTGTTGAACCAGCTTGAGCCTGCACATAGTAGGTATTCTTACAATAGCCTGGACACATCCCAGCCCTCACCCCAACCCTTCCCCCTCCCCCAAACTTTTACAGCCAGCTGCTCTTGCATAGGGGGTCCTGGGGCTGGATGTCCTTGGGGTGGGGAAAGCGACTTAGGCTCACACAAAGGGTCCCAAGACACACTCTGCTGAGGTGTAGGGGTAGGTTGACTAACCCCAATGTCTCCCTCTGCCCTGAGCTCTGCTGTACAGTCTCAAGAGGGGCTGTGGCTTGCTTCCTTTGCCTGTACCTGCCACACACTGGGTGCTGGGACCCAGGCGAAGTCACTGTGGAGCCAGGGCACTCTAATCAGAGAGTTGCTGGGGGAGTTGGCTGGAGCTGGGCAGGTAGCCGGGCAGCAGGCGCAGCAGCAGGGAGGCTGCGATGGCCAGGCCGGCAGTGGGCCCCCGCAGTATGTGCGCTGAGGGGGCGGGAGCAAGGAGCCGGTGAGTCACCGTTTCTGGGCTGGGCAGGCGGCAGCGGCTGCGGAGCGGAGCGGGGGGCGCATTCCTGGCTGGCAGGGCGGCCGGCACTAATGTCTTTCCCACATGGCCCCGAGTTCCCCGCTCGGCACGATCACACGGGCAAGGCGCTCCCGCGGCCACCCCCGCCCCAGCTGCCGCCTTCCCACAGCGAGGGAGGGAGGGAGCGCGCCGAGCCCCACGGCGCTGCCCTTGCCAGGCCCCGCGGGGGGCTCAGCGTGGCCTGCCTAGGCCCCGGTACCCCACACCATTCGCACCGGGTGCTAGGAAAGGGGCAGCTGCGGGCAAAAGCAAAGCAAGGCCGAGCCTGTAAAACGGCAGGAGGAAGGAGGCCTGGAGTGGCCGTGGACTTCGGCCATGTCCCAGCCTCTGGTCCCGCTTCACTCATGCGGCCCCAGGTTAGGCCAGGGCACTGAGGCTCGCCCTCTCCCTCCCCGCCTTCCTGACTTCCGGTTACTGGGTGGGGTGGGATGGAGTAGGGTGGGGTGGTGTGGCAGTAGGGTGGGGTGGGGTGGCGGTGAGGACCGTTTGAAGCAGAGGCGCATCCGGTGGGGGTCTGGAGAGGGCAGCTCGTGCAAGAGGCCCCACCTAGTCCCTGGTTGCAGGGGGTGGAGGATGGCCCTGGCCAAACTTGGGAGGTGCGGACTTGAAACGCTGCTCTCCCACGCAGCCCCTGTCGCAGGGCCAGGCCTCTGGGGGAAACTGAGGCTGCTGCGGGGGAGGGCCACCCAGAGCTCCCTGCCTGGTGGGGGAAGCTGGCGGGTGTCCCTCCCACCTGGGCTCAGAGGCGCTAATAAAGCAGGGAGTGAGTCACTAAAGAGAGTGAGCTGAGACCACCCCCAGATGTAAGATGAGACCACCCTCCTCTTACCCCTCCTTCCTCCCCCTCAGTTACCTACATTTCATCTCCTACCCCTTGGCCAGGCCAGTCATGATTCCTGACCTAGCTGACCATGTTGCCGCCCAGGACCATTATCCTCATAGTTGGTTGGCAGTGGGCCCACGGGGGAGCTCCTTATCCCAGGACAGGTCCAGAGCCCCTGAGGACCAACATCTGGACTTTCCAGCAGCCCTGAGCCCTGGGCTATGGTCACAGCCCTGGGGCTGGAGGGGTGGGCAAAGAGCCCAGGCCACCCTGAAGTTCCCCCCACCCCTACCTTTGTCTGGCCTTGCTCAGGCCACCATGACGACACAGGGTATGTACGTGCTCCTAGCTTCCGCTGTTCCTGACCTCCAGCCAGCATGGGACTTGGGTCTGTCATGCTCTAGATGGAGGGGCAAACAGCACCTTGAGTCTGTGTGTTTATGCGTGTGTGAATTGTGAGAGCACACATGTGTGCCCACGAGTGCGTATGTGAGCATGTGCATGCAGGTATATATGCATGTGTGTGAGTGTGTGCCTACGCATACGTGTGCATCCTTGCTCCAGTCCTGGATCTGTTTGGGCCACCTTGAGTATTTGACTGAATGTGCAACTCGCTGTCTCCAAGTGGGTCTCAGTATTGCAGGGAGCTTGGGAGGGAATGTCTCTGTGTGTCTATCTATTTGTCCTTTCTCTGTGTGGGTCTTCCTGCATGACTGTGTGTGGCTGTTTCTCCTGGCCCCATCCACAGGGTCCCTGACTCCTGGTGAGCATCCATGGCCACCACCAGAAGCCACAGGGTTAGGAATGCTAGCCTAGGAGGGGGGATATTGGAAGGGGTAAAGGGCCAGCCCACCCACCCACCCACCTGCCTGCCTGCTTGCTATTTCCCAAATGGAATAGACTGGCTGGGTGGGCAGTACGGGGAGGGGCCGCCACGGGAGAGGGAAAAGGGGGGCCCAGGAGGGAGGGGAGCCTGCTCAGCAGTCCCCTGCCTGCTCCCTCTGCTCCTAGCCCCTCGCCTCCTGGCAAGAGCTTATTTGCATGGTATTTACATTTCATTTGCATCGTGTTCAATTAAAAACCTGACCAGCTCCCGCCTGCCTGGCGCTGCCTGCCCAGCCTGGTGAAAATGTTGGTTGGGCACTGCCGTCTTCCCCCCCAGCCCCCCACAGACTGACCAACATGGGAGGGGTCCTGCCTCAGTGAGATGGTGGAGTCACCCACTCGAGAAGGGAGCCCACTAGAGGTACAGATGGAGGAACAGAGGTGCAGAAAGGCCTCAGGGCTGGTCTCCCACAGAGCCAGCCAGAGGTCAGCAGTGACAGCTGTGCTTTATGGAACAGCCACTACGCCAGCACCTGGTGTGGAGTGTCTCACTGGGACACCCCTCCTAGATGACCCCCACTTCACAGATGAGAAGACCAAGGCTGGCCAGGGGAAGCCCAAGGCTCCCCCGCCCTCCTGAGTTCACACCTTTCCCTTGTGACTAACAAGTTCCATATCCCTGATCTTGACTCAATAGGCCAAGCCTCCCTTTAGATGAGACAAGGTTCATGAGATCTAGGATGGGCCACTCCTGGCTTTTGTTCATTTATTACCTGTTTGAAAGGCAGGATTACAGAGATCTTCCATCTGCTGGTTCACTCCCCAAATGGTCACAATGGACAGAACTGGAAGCCTCATTTAGGCTTTCCAAATACTTGGCCCATCCTTTCCTGCTTTCCCAGGTGCATTAGCAGGAAGCAAGATGAGAACTGGAGCTGCCAGGACTTGAGCAGGTGCCCCTATGGGATACAGGTGGTACAAACTGGGGCTTTATCTGCTATATGTGCTCCCCCTGCTCCTTTCCTCCATTCATCAAGTGGTGAGTGCAAGTAAAAAGAGAACATTTGAAACAAAGAAAAAACAGTGCCTTTCTGGAGTCCCTTCATTTAGGACAGAGCTGAAGTTAGCATTGGAAAAGGAGTTGGGCTCCTCAGGCTCACCTTAGAGGGGCACTTCAGGAACCAGAAGGCCACCCAAGCACCAGGGTGCGTTGGTGCTGACCCCTTCTTCCTCCACCATCAGCTTTGGGGCTCTGAGGGGATACACCCTCAATCTGGGGACCCTGGGCAGTCAGTATTGCCCCTCCCTGTAACAAGGACTAGTGTCACCCAGGCCTGTTAGGTCCCACTGAATCCCAGGGCTCTGCTTAGAATGACCTCAAGAAGCATTGTTTGTGATAGCCATATGCAGATTTCTTCCCCCAAGTTAAAGATAGCTGCCAACTTGTGAAGGCAGTGAGGGGAAGAGGGGAACCCATCCTCTGGCACTTGAAGTGAAACACTTTTCTTTGAGGCTGAAAAGGAGCTAGGAGGTTCCCTTTTTTTTTTTCAAGATTTATTTTATTTTGATTGGAAAGGTGGATATACAGAGAGGAGAAACAGAGAGAAAGATCTTCCATCCCATGGTTTATTGCCAAAGCGGCCACAACGGCTGAAGCTGAGCCAATCCCAAGCCAGGAGCTAGAAGCTTCTTCCGAGTCTCCCACGCGAGTACAGGGTCCCAAAGCTTTGGGATGTCCTTGACTGCATTCCCAGGCCACAGGCAGAGAGCTGGATGGGAAGCAGGGCTGCCGGGATACGAACTAACGCCTATATTGCATCCTGGCGCCCATATAGGATCCCGGTGCATTGAAGGCGAAGACTTTAACCACTATGCTATCACACCAGGCCCTCTCATGTTTTTCTTAAGACATTGTGTGCAGTCGCTGTTGCTTGCATCCTAAAATTCTGGGCAAATCAGGCCACCTCAGCCAGTCCCTGCCTTCCAGCCTGTGTTTACATGGTGCTTCACCTGGAGTCAGCCCTGTGCTGAGCAGCGCACCACGCCAGCCCTCCCTCAACTCCATCCCTTCAGGTGCCTCCCTGCTGTTCTGTGCCCACCCTTCTCTCCTGACTGCTATGGAATGTTGTACCCTCAGCCTGCCTGGTACCCAGGATCTGTGCCCACAACTGCAGGGCTGTTGCTGTGTCTTGGACTTGTGTCTCAGAGTGTCGGCAATGGAAGAGAGAGAAACTAGAGCAGAGTGGCTTGAAACTTAGTTTTGACCTTGGGCAGCCGAGGTCCAGGTTCTACCCCATCTGTGCAATTGCTGGACCAGCCATTTCTCTTCTGATTTGTTCCTTCCTCCTCTTCTGTTTGTTTTTATTACTAATTGACATAAAATTGTACCAATTTATAGAGTGCATGTGATGTTTCTATAAATGTGTAAATTGAGAGCTTCCTGCTCTTTTTTGTTTAAACAGAATTATGTATGTGTTTGGAAGGCAGAGTTACAGAGGTCTTCCATCCCCAGGCTCACTCCCCACATGGCTTCAGTGGCTAGAGCCGGGCCCAGCTGGAATCAGGAGCTTCTCCCAGGTTTCCTACACGGGTGAAGGAGTCCAGGGACTTGGGCCATCTTCCACTGCTTTCTCAGATGCATCGCAGGGAATTGCTTGAAAAATGGAACAGCCTGGGCCCAGTACATTAGCTTAGAGACTGAAGGCCTCACCTTGCATGTGCTAGGATCCCATATGGGCACCGGTTCTAATCCTGGCCACTCTGTTTCCCATCCAGCTCCCTGCTTGTGGCCTGGGAAAGCAGTTGAGCTCAGCTCCAGCTGTTGTGGCCATTTGGAAGAGGGAAGATCTTCCTGTCTGTCTTTCCTCCTCTCTGTATATCTGACTTTCCAATAAAAATAAATAAATCTTTTTTAAAAATGCATTTGTTTATTTGAAAGGCTCAGTGACAGAGAGGGAGAGGGGAAAAAGAGAGAAGAAAAGGGAGACACAGGGAGAACGTCTGTTTCACTCCCCAAAGGCTATAGCACACGGGCTATGCCAGGGCGAAGACAGGAACTTCTGCGTTCCCCACTTGCGTGCAGAGGGCCAAGCACTTGAACTATCTTCCACTGCTTTCCCAGATGCATTGCAGGGATCTAGAACAGATGGGATTTGAATCTGTGCCCGTGTGGGATGCTGGCCACCAGTGGCAGCTTTACGCACCACACCACAGCATTGAATGCCACTTTTTTTCTTTTTCTTCTCTCTCTCTCTTTTTAATTTTCTTTCTTGTG